ACTGGCCTGTGTCCCAGAAAACCCAGCTTGCCCCGTGGGTGTGATTAAAGAGACATCTGCTGTGCTCAGATCAGGGCTTCATATGTTCATACTGCGGCAACACACTGCCCAAAGCTGACCCAGGACCAGTGAGTGGGAAGTAATGTCCTGTGGAAAAGGGTAAAAGCTTTACCCTAGATAGTTCCACCGTCAGCCTTGGTTCCACTAGTTGTAATCTTCAGCATTTCTTTCATCAGTATGAAAAAATGAAGCATGGTCCTGGGCTTTACTTTCCATATAAGACACATCCACTACAGCCCTAGCATTTAGAAAGTTAAACGATTACTTTGTGAACGTACAAAAAGCAACAGCTCCAATTAAAATATACCAGCTCCACAGTGTGGGGTTTGTCCAAATCAAAAAAATTCAACAAGGTTATCAAACATTTTAGTTGAAATCTGTGCTGTCTAAAAACGTATATGTATATACAAACGGAGTACGGTCCTCTCAGTCCTGCTTTTCTGACAGAAATAATAAACAATATAAGAAATCTCAACATAGAGAGTGCAACACATTGCACACTGTAGAATAAGATTTTTTTGCATTATTACAAATATGGGATTTCTCCCATTTTAAATCTTATTTCACTAAAACTACAGACACAAATTCAACTTACTGGAATTTCTGGACCTTTCAACCACATTGCATCATCTTTATCAGAGGATGGAGATAGCTCAGATATCTTCCCGTGACCGTGAATGATGATTGTTTATGATTGTGGAATGTAGTTGAAAGCTCCAGAAAAAGCTAGTAAGAGGACCTTGGGTGAAGATTATTTTGTCAAACTACCATTTCCGAGTTCACGAAAGAGTTGAGCTTTATATAGAGAGTAACATATAAGGGAATTGCTTCTCCTTAGGGGTTTTAATTTTCAGTAAACTGCAGCTGCAAAACTTTCTCTAGAGAAGATTTTAAGATTTATAATGAGTTTCACTGTTGAAGCAAAATCCAATATCTTGGGAGTTGTGTCCATCATAACCAGGCAGAGAAATATGAGCACACACACCCACGTCGGTCTTTTTTGTTCATACACTACACAAAATGAGTTCATAAACACGCAGGAACACACACACACACACACACACACACACACACACACACACTTTGGTTGTTGGTTTCGCTCTCCGCCCACCTGTGACTGACTGCAGCAATCTGGAGTGAGAGCGGCTGCCTTGTAGTCATTAAAATATCAGCCATGTCCTGACATTTACTTTTAGTTTTTCCATTTACAAGCAGGCAAAAATACCTGCTGTCAAACAGTCTCATACACTCCCTCACATAAGCTGAAGTCCATTGTGGACAATAAAGCCACACTTTTCTGTCACGAATATAACAGTTTTTACTTCTTTAACTAAGCTGTGATACGATAAGAACCAACTGTTTCTCGAGCCGTGTAAACACACTACTCCAGGTTACAACCATGTGTCCTCCAGGTCTGCTCAATCAAGTCAAACTCTTGAATTTTAATTTATTACTGGTTGTCTACATCTGCATCATTTTCTGCTTGGTCCCATCTGAAATGTTTGAATAGTTGCCCTGAAAAGGCCTTTAAGCCCGAGTAGAGACACAGAGACGAGAAGGGAGAAAGAGTCCTTGGCAACAGATAACAGTTGTACTGTCAGCAAGACCGATGTTAGAATCAGTATTCTGGCTATTTCATTCTGGGTTCTTGTATATGGGCATGCCCAACAGATTTGTAAGGCTGTGATTGCAATGCATTATCCAAAGAGCGGAGTCAAAGGGAGGATTACAAATGGCAACCAGTGCCCCATATTATCACAGCCAGTCCAGAGGAGCACAGGAGAGTCAAATTGGCACTGAGACACAACCAAGAGGACACAGTTCAGACAGACGGAAAACAATACAAGTTAAGTTCACAATTTACATTTTTAGGTGTTTAGCACTCTTGTCCGTTTGTCTAATTAGATTACATAGTGAATAAGTGGTTGCTATGGGAACCATTTTGGCAGCAGAAATAGAAGTCATTTGTGATGCACTCCGGTTTGGCAGTAGCAGCCACAAACAAAGCCTCCAAAATCTGGAGCTTCCAAATTGCCAATCAGCCTGATTAGACGTGACATTGTGTTTTCCCAGCAGAGTGTTCGTCGTTGTTATATATTTCGTCAGCTATTCCTCCAACTCTCTAAGCCTATGTCTCTCTGAAGATATGCTGCCTGTCTGCTCCCATTTCTCATTGGTCCATCTTTAATCTAACCTAACTCTGTCACTGCTTCTTAATACATTCTCATATAACCATCTTTGATCTGCGCCTGGAGGAGCTGAAAGAATCTGAAAGAGAGAAACTGATAAGAAAAGAGACAGGACAACAAACAACAGTGCGCACCTCGGGTCTGTGTATTAAATGGAGTGTGAGTTGGAGCAAGAACAAATATCTCATTTCAGTGTAATGCGCTAAAGGCTTGCAGCTCGCTCTCCAGGCGTTCTTTAAACATTGTTTACCGCTCTGATTTTAATGGCTTGTTGGCCACATCATAAAAAGTGACTCAATATCCACGACCCTCGGCTCAGCTCTTATCTCGCTCTTTCAGAGGGGTGAGCACTCGCAGTGTTGAGTCTTAACACACAAATGGGACTATCAGCTGAAACGCACACGTACATGCTACAGTGATTTCAGGCAGTAAATTAGCCAGTCACAAACACACACACACACACACACACAAGCGGTAATCAATGATACCTGGAGCCTGCTGAGACGCCGAGGAAGGAAATACACAGTCACACCGAGGGTATTGTTAATTTAATGAACAGATGAAGCCAATCATATCAGCAAAGCAGTTAAGTTCTGTTGTTTAGAATGGAAAAGAAGAAATGTTATGGAAGAAGAGGCACCGAGGAACTAGTACCCGGGAGAAATGGTGATTAAGTAAGGGTAAATGTTGGCAGATGGAGCCACACTGAGAAGAGTGAATTGTTACTGCCCTACACTTCCAGTTTAGAAAGGCAGAGCCAAAACCAACAACAAACCCAAAGCAAAATGAAGCTGTGAATCAATGGACTGCAGTGTGTGAACGCTGCTGAACAGGCTGTTTTCAAGGGGAAATACACACAACAGTAGATCACATAGAGGGAAGACTGAATGTGTGTGTTTGTGTTTTGATTCTGCCCTTTGTGCCCCGTAGCGAACAGAGACTCCAATGATCATCGTAAATTAGGATAAATAAAATTCAGAGGATGTGAGCGGACAGCCGTTGCCGTAGCGATCATAGCAGGAGCCCTCAGGCTAAATGCCAGCATGTGAAAGTGACAGTGGCAGCGGAGAGTCTCGAGGGAGGGAGGGAGGGAGGGAGATACAAAGATATACAGATGCAAGGCCTACAGAGAGCACTTGAGAGAGATTGCTTGCAGAGAGGATAACTTGGAGATAAGAAAGTCAGCCAATAATGAGGAGAAGAGGGGTCTGGCAAAGAGGAAAGAAAGGAAAGAGAGGAAGAATAATGAATAGAGGGCATATTGACAAAAAACAAAGTTGGACTAACTTTTTTTTGCCTCCACACACACACAGACACACAAGTCTCCTTACTTTTTCAAGTCATTATATACAGACCATGGTCAGTCCTTGCTCAAAAGCCTTCCTCACTAATAAATACAGTAGATGGATGAGTTCTGAAGTTAATCATCTCAGGGTGTTAATGTCACAGCCTACAGACAGACATGACAAACTTCCTGTACCTCAGCGTTTGGCTGCTCTGCTCCCTCCCCGAGGCTCTGCCACCACTGGCCTGCTTCCATATGGGATGTTGTTCCACAGTTCGTATGTGTGTGCGAGAGAGGATGGATTAGTGTTGTTGTGTCTAGATGGATGGGTGCATTACTTTGCTTTCCCTTGGCTGAGTCTACTTGTTTTTGTGTTCAGTAATGGCGCTGCTGTGATTATTCCGTTTCAGACGAGAAAAATTATGTTTGTGTCACTTTGCAGCACCACCAAGTCTGCCTTGGGATTTCAGAATGTCTTTCAGGACATTAATACAACTATATCAAAACATACTTGTACTTTGGATTGTGAAGTTGGGGACCTTAAAACAACACCAGGAAATATTTTCTTATTTGCTTACTTTCTAAGAGTAAGATGAGAAAATTGACACCACTCACATGCCACAAAAAAAAGTTTTCATCCACTTTGACTGTGTTTGTTTGATAATCGATGTAAACACAGAGTCTGCCTCCCCTCTAGCGGCTCAGAACACAGTCCGCCCGTCGCGGATCTGGGATGATGATGGAACAGGTCTCAGTAAAGATGTGGGCACAACAGTCTCTGATTTCCCATATTTTGGCCAGCTTGAGTCCCATTTCGTCCAAAATGAACATTAGCCAAAAGCAGCCTTAAATCCAAGCTGGGCCAGCATAGCTCCTATCCTGGCTCTCTTCCCTCTCCTCCTAGAGTGATCACAGCACCCACTGGGGTGGCTCATCCAGCCTGTCTGTCCTGCTGAAGCATCTAAATGCACAGCTGTTGCCATAACAGTATGAAGGGGCTGGGAGGTGATTAGCTTAGCTTAGCATAAAATAAGAAGCAGGGTAAAAAAAGTAAAAAAAAAAAACAGCAGCTCTAAAGCTTAGTAATTATTGTATCTTGTTTATTTAATCTGTACAAAAATATTAACATTAACACAACAACTTGAAGTTTTAGGGTGGTTGTAACATATTGTAAAATTTCTTGGCAAACAACAGCTGAGCACAGTGGTTGGTGCCATGCAGCCAGCAGATATGTTAAGTTGTAGTTTTTACATTACTGTTTGTCAAAAGATTAAACATAAAAAAAACCCATATTAAATAGAGAGCTTTAAAGATGTTTTTTCATTCTTTCTTAGTTTTTATGCTAAGCTAATTGACTTCTCTATTAATGACATAACGGTGGAACTGATCTTCTCTTCTTACTATTAATCTAAGCATTAATTCATGTATGTAAATGATTCAGTTTGTTTTGTTTTCTCTTTTTTTAGAGCGAGAGGCTGAACCTGGCAGATATGGAGACCCAGGAACTACAACTCACTCCAGCTTACCCAAGAAGACAGTTCAGGATGGTGAGTTCGGAAAACATCATTTTCTTCAGGGTGGGGAGGTTTTTGTAGTAACCATCCTGTATTTTGTTATTACAGCTGATTTGGTTAATCTGATTTAGCTCCAATATTCTGTATGTGTTGTATAAAGATCTCAGTGCCGATCTGTTTGTCAGTCAGATTACCAGGTTTGCTGAGAAATAAATGCTTTGATAGCCATCATAGTCATTGATAGATAGATATATGATAGATAGTCATTGATGTTCCACAACAGATTGTAGCATTACTTTACATTTTACAAATTGTTCTGCCCTGCTGTCTCAGCTGTAAATCCCATAAAATGGTGGGTATAATACAGAAGGGTTTAGCACAATTAGTTCTCCACCCTATCTCAGGTTGTGTGCGGAGATGTCAGTATGGACGAGAGAGATAACCAAGCTTGCAGCTCGTTGTCTGAACCAGATGGAGCCATGGCTAATGCACACAGGATGATCAAAGCTACCCCTTCAGTAACATGGAGCTATTTCCAGGCTTGAGTACTAACATCATGCTCTCTTAGTGCAGGCTAACATGAAATTTGTAATTTGAGATTTAGCAAGTGGGCAGCAATATAGAGAGGTATAGATTTCCTTCTCACCTGTCAGCTCTGGTGTTTGTGCTCGCAGCTTAGCAGAATTTAACAAACTAACGTGGGTGTAGTGGGCTGAAATCCTCTGTAGTATTGTTTGTTTGAGATTACCGAAGGAAACATCAAATGCATTTAAATAGCCTCTTCTCAGTAACAAAACATTTAATTGAATTTTTCAGTATATGGAAAAGCTTCATTAACTTTTGGTCAGTTTTTGATGTCCACAAAAATTCATGCATGTTGGCATCATGTTTTTATTTCAATCAGGAGAGACTGACATTTTGAATGAACAAATATATACCTAATTGATATGTGCACAATGGAAGTTGAGAAATGTGAAGGGGTTGGTGAAGCTGTGATTAGTAAAGGAAACCCCCTGATGGAGTCTAGACACTGGGGGGGGGTGATGAAGGAGTGAAGAAAATGCTGCAGATCTGGATGTGATGAGGAGTGGACTTCTGATGAGCTCAACCTGGGCACTGGATATGATGAACTGGAGGTGAATGGTGTCGAGAAGGGTCGCATTGATTTCACACTTAAATGACAGCTGAAAGCAGCAGAGAGGACAATGAATGTAAGGTTTGACAGCAGCAACATGATTGGCTAGGAGAGATTGTGGTTAATTCTGATTGGTGTTACTGAAAGAGTAAACGCCCATAGTCAGCTGATTAAGAAGGAGTGTGAGAGGATTATGAATGAATGAGGCATAATGAGATAGTCTTCCTGACTGAACTTGACTGAGCTTCATATCTACTGCACAGCACCTATTATTTTATGTTTTGGGGATTGTTTGCATTTAGTTTGACTAATTGAAAATGCTGAGACATTAAACATTGAAAAACACTGACCTATACTTACAAGTACTTACTTACTTGTAATACATATTACAGATGTATAAGGAAGCATTTGCTAATGCTGTAAAAACCCAAATTAATAAAATAATTTAATAAAAAAATGTCCACTCATTTGAACTTGCTGACATGGCACATCCATAAAACTGTAAATATAGCAGAACAGAGTTAGTTAGTTCCAGAGATAAACATGTTGAGTAAATGAGCGTACTCATTACACTACAAGGCGGCTAGGTTTTGCCACAACAAGGCTCCAAAGTGCTGCATCAATTATATCAGAATTGGCAAATGGAAAACTAAATGGGGAACCAATTTGGTAAATCAAATGCAATTTGAAATGTGACGGATGCACACATTGTGTTCTGTTCGTTAGGTAATTACAAAACCAATTACACGTGTTTTGATGTTATTCAGTGGGAGATAAGCTGCATGGTAACACAGAGTAATCCACAGTATCAAATCCTAGATGAATCTACTAAAAGAGCCGTTGCCATGTTGTGCTGCTGTGAGATTCAACCTGACATTGTTTTTCAATACATCTTCATTTATTTGAGTCAGTTCAAACACAGATGTCTGTGGTAAAGATTTGGTTATTTTTAGTTATTTACAGTTTCTCTTGTTTTTGATGTCAGCTCTGATGAAACCTGTGTCACAACACTGTAGGACTGCGTCTCTTTCAGTTTTCAGGGATTGCTGCTGTCTTGTAGAAAGCTGCAGTTCAGAGATTTAAATTAAAACTTGTGCTTTTGATTGGGAGTGCCTTTGTTCTGAAATAGAGTAAACATGTCAGGCAGGGAATTGTGATAATCTCAGTAGTTTATGTAGAAATGTAAATGAGTCACTGGTGTTGACCCCTCGTGTGCTATAACCGTAGTCATTTTTCATTTAAAATAAGCAAAATGTGATTTTGAATTATATATCGTATGATTCTTCCCTTGTCTCTGTGGTTCGAGTCACTGTGTGGTGTAGTAGTCTTGCTGGAGGCGTAATGTGTTGTTCAGCACATGGACTTTGTCTTCTAGAAAAAGGCTAAAGAAAAAGGAGACAGACAGAGGTGTTTAAACTTAGATAAAGTCTGGTCTTTCTACTATTTGTCACTTTATTACCTGCTGTAAGTAAAAGGATGATCTAATGGACACACAGAGCTTTGGTATCTCATATCAGACACTGCTGTTTGTATATTTGTTTTTGAGTAACATTAATAAAATGGTCACTATGAGTGGATAATGACAGGAGACGGAGCCGTTGAAGTCTGGGAAATACAGGGCTCTGATCTACTCTTGCTCACTCACGCTCACACACACATGCACATACACACACACACCCTTCAGCTTCAGATAAATGAATGTCTCAGTCTAGGACAGTGCAAAAACATTTAATTATCCCTGACACTGAAGGTGAGGCAAGAAGCCAGATCAGTCATCCATTTATGCATGTGTGTGCGTGTGTGTGTGCACGTGTGTGTGAAAAAGAGGAAGAGATCACAGTGTGTCAATGAGCCAAAGAATCAGTCTGTAAGTCAAGTGTGTGGTCTTTCTTTGTGACCTCTCCAGAAATTGACTAAAGGTCAACTTGACACAAACGCGTCGTCTGGCAGCAACACATGGTCAGTTAAAAGCTTAGGCTCTTAAAGCAGAAGAAAACAGACCACTTGACATTGTAAAAAAATAAAAAAAAAGTCTATTCCATTACTGTACAGCTGCAAACCATTCACTTCTAACCCTGCTGTGATCAACACACCAAAAATACAGCAGCTGTAGCTTTAAATGGTTGCCAAGTTTGATTCCAATTCAAAAGAAGAAATTTATTCTGCATTAAAATATGAACATTCAGAAACATTTTACAATCAGGATAGTGATGCACATTGAAGTGACCTCAAGATGTGTGCTTGGTGTAGCTCTGGGGATGGCAGAAATATCTCAACAGCTATTGGATAGATTGACACAAGCTTTTTAGCAGACATTCATGGCCCCCTAGATCCTAATAACCTTGATCTGCTGACTTTTCCTTTAGCGCCGCCATGAGGTTGAGATTAGTGGTTTTGAGTGAAATGTCTCAGCTGCTGGTTAGATTAGCATGAAATGTGCGGAAAGCTGGTTGAGGATTATGGAAGCTGAGTATTTATATTGAATTTAAGGTAATCCAACAGATATCCTGTTTTCAAATGAAATGAAGCCCTGTTTATACCACTATACACTGACCTGAGCCAAGATGAAGACCTTACAACCTGGTTTAAATGTTATCAGGAGTTGTTTCGGCTGACTTCCTGTTCTTTCTTTGTGAGGGTTGACACAGTTAGAGTCTCCAGTATTGTTTGTCTTTCTCTGAGTGTGTGCATGTTCTTTCCAGCACGCCAATTTCATGCAAATTTTACTTTATTTCTTCTCTCTCAGTTCACTGTGATGATGATAGAATTGTAAACACACTTAAAGCAGAACAGGTTATGTATAACTTTATTTAGACTGTGACAATTAGCAACTTTCCCCTGAAATGAATGCCCTCTTGTTTGCGTAAGTTGTCCTTAAATGCATATTTGCTCTTTTGCTTTGAAGCTGTCTTCAAAGACTGTTTGATTATTCGCTTTCATTGCGTTCCTTTAAAAATGCTTCGCTACCAGCAACAGCTTCACAAAACATCCTCTTTCAGGGCTTTTCACAATAAAGTGTGAGTATGTGTGTGTGCGCTATTGGTGCTGCTGTATGTATAATGGCTATGTGGCCGTGATGAATATTCAGTTTGTAAGCGATAGTCAATAGCCTCACTCTCTCCAGATATTTTTCTCCCGTAAGCCACTGTGGTTTCTTCTGACATTCAAACTGAAAGAGCCTGTTTATCTTCTCCATTCCTCAGTTACATCCACAATAATATGATTTGCCCGTGTTTTCAATAATTAATTTTATGGATGGTGGATTCATTCTATCACTGCATCCTCCCAGAGGCCCTCTCTGTGCTTTCATCCCTCCATCATTCCTCTCTGTCATCTCTCACTCCAGTGCCTCTCATAGGCCAAACAGTCGGACCCTGAGGAACGTTCAGAAAGCAGAGTGAGAATCAGATTTTATCTGCTCCTGATCTGTTTGTCTTTCTGTTCTCTTTCTCCATCTCTTGTTTTTCCTCCCTGGCCCCCCAGGTAAAGGAGCCGAAACACCTTTTTAATTAGTTTATCAAAGCCTGAAAGTGATGCTCATTTTTCTAATAACAGTCGAGAATTTGTCCTTTGGGAATGGTTGTTGAAGCTCTTGTTAATTCAATTTCAAACTTGTTTATTTGCTATTAGAAACAGTAGCTGGGGAGAGCAAACAACGGAGAGCAATGGAGCATGGTGTCGATAAAGAGGCACACACACCCGTACTCACAGAAACACCCCGTTGACCTATGTCCAGCTCAGCAGCAATTAATTTGAGGTCACCCCCTACTCTTTGACAGGGCTTGTTGGCTATGTGGCCTCTTCTATTGGACTCTGACTATCTTTATTATCCAATCACTGCACTCCATTCTGGCCTGTGTCCAGTATTAGAGGACACAGGAAGAGTGTTTTATCTTAC